CAAATTTTTGAACCCACCATCTGATAATGACCCGAAGTTTCTGTCCTTTATTTCCTCTTACATGTACATCTGTAAACTGCTCTATGTAGAGAATCTTAGGGAAAATTTTTGTTCAACTCTCTTCAAGTCCTCTACATGTTATCTATGGTTTAATCAAATCACTTTTTGTCAGGAACAGTGGGTTCCTTTATATTTCCACCACAAAATTTCTAATCCAACTTTGATAATGATTTTTAATCTGGTCGACTGGTGACCTAGAAGTATAAGTAAGCTTCATACTAATCTGCTTTTTAAAGATAGTAAACCAAGCATAGTGATAAGCAGAAACTTCTCTGTGTTAATATTTAAGCTGCAGAATTCTCCAAGGATACATCCAGGGATGTAGCACATTCAAAAACAATCTTGGAGTACATTTGTACTCTCAAATTTTCAAGTTTTCAGAAGATATTAACGTATTCTTAAGTGCTGAAATGCCAAACCATTACAGATAAACTGTGGAAAGACTTTAGAATTCAATGTGACTGGACAGAAATGGGACAGATGAACTTTTAATGAAAGCAAGACAAAGTAATGCTTTTAGAGAAAAACACTTCATCATACTTTTAAAAGTAAAGGTTCAATCTGTTGGCTAACTCCAAAATGGAAGTGATTCGTTACTAGCCCCATAGACTAATGTGAAAGAACTAACAAACATTACCAAGAAAAATATTGAGTAATAAAAATATTACTTGAGCACTATGTGCCAGATGCTGAGCTATGTATCTTACATACATTATTCTGTTTAAAACTTAGAGTAACCTCTTGCTCTTTTCACTTGATAAAATAAAGGAAATATCAAGGTCACACTGATGCCAGCAATTCCAAGCTCAAGGCAATGTGATATCAAAGTGTTAGGGTCCAGGACTCCGGGGTTTCCCAGAGAACAAGCCACCAGGACACGAAGATGAAAATCCAAGCAAAGTCTTTATTCAGCCAGCAAGCTGGGGTCAACAGCACCTCCCCTGACACGCAGGCCGAGTCTGAGCTGCCGACCCCCAAGCAACTTTAGGTATGGTTTATATGGGATTTCTACAGTCATTGCACCAGAGCCCGCACATTACCCCAACCAATGAATTTGAAACACATTCTATACTTTGGCCAATAAAATTGGAACAGGGACACACCAGGTGCCTGACCTTTGCACAGCATTCCTATGTGACTTATCACGAGTTTCGACCCCAGGGGGGTCGTTTACTTCTAGTTATCTAACGACCCCAGGGGGGTCGTTTACTTCTAGTTATCTAACTTAGTGCAGGGTCCAGGAATGTTAGCCTCACGTAGTTTCTACGAAAACTGGGTGGCTCTGCCCTGTTCCCTGCATTCCTCTACAAAAGCTCAGATGTTTGCCTACTATGTTACGCTGCCCCGCACTGAACATCATCCACTCTGGAACAAATCAGCATGTGTCTGTTCCTGGAATAGTGTCAGAATTATGAGTTCGAGAGGGATGTGTCAAAATAAGAATAAATCTAGGGCATGGCTACGAAAATTATCAAGCCATGGTTTATGATGGTAGGCTTTTAAAAATATAATTATGGGTTTAAGATACAAGCTGCATAGGAAACATGGGTGGTTCTGGTTCCCCAAACCTGGGAAATCTAGAGCTAGGACTAGCACATCGATCTTGAAGGAAGGAGGGCATATGAAAGGGAACGCTTTTTACCAAATGGATAAAAACTATCAGAAATTTGATATTTTTAAGTTGGAAATAGAATATGAAGACCACAAAATCCCTTGACTCATGTTTTCTGCTTCTGCCTCAGTTTGTTAGACACTCCTCACTGGCAATCACAATATATCTGAGACCTGAGCCCCATCATCTTGTAACAAATTATCCTGGCATCCTCTCAAAAGATATCCATATAATCAGCCTCTCTCAGGCACCTTCTTTTTTATTCGGACCCTGGATTTGCTACCTCCAGGGATTATTTTCCGGGTGTTTTGTTGTTTCCTCAAGCCATCTATCTCCCCTTGGCCACTCTCAGCCCTCACCAAGGGGAACTGTGTGCTTCCTTTCTAATATCAGCATCAGCACTTGGTTTTCTCACTGCCCTTTTGGCTCTCCCTAAAGCCCTGTTGAGAGACAAGCCTGTTTCCCAAATAGAAATCCTCATCTCATACGTAACACTGGTGTCTGGGTTCTGCTGCTTATGAACAATTGCCCCCTGCCTGCCTCCTGGAAGTGACCAGCACCTGGAATCTCACATGCTATGTTCTAATAGAAAATCGTATCTCACTATCAGCTGAAACAGCCAGTTCTAAGTGATGCTGCTCAGATCTCTAAGCTTGCATGTTGGAAGCTATTACTAAGTAGGAGGAAATAAAACCAGGTGGACAGGCATTTGGCTAGAGAATTTACCAGAAGATTTTGTGCCTTACAGGAATGGTTCCATTTTAGGGTTTAAGCAGGCTTTATTATAATCTGGGTTAGCTTTAAAGAGATTTGGTCCCCTGTGCACAGATAGAGGGAGTGATAGTTTGGGGTGTCAGGTGCATGTCTGGGCCTCAGAGCAGTGGAGCTTGCCTTAACAGATTCTGGAAATATCAGAAATAGAATTAGCTTCAGAATAAAGGATTAGGCCAGGGGTCCAGATATGCAGCCAATTTAGCTAAGATTCAGGGTGGTTTATAGCCCCAGTAAACTGTGATATAAGCCAGGAATCTTTGATCAAGAAGAATAAAGTGAGCACAAGGAAGTGTAGAGCAACAGGTCAGACGATATAATTCCTGAGGGATTACTAATATGTCACTGATGAGTTTTACATTCTTGTTTGGTTTTATAAACTGGGCAGGGGATTGTGTTTATAGGAGTCAGTGTGATTTAAAGAACCACTGGGAAGAACAGGGAGTAGCTATAAATAAAATACAAGACCTGGTATTTGCTTTGCAGGAAGAGGATAGATTGGAAAGAAAGGACAGATGTGTCACTGATATTCTGATTCTGTGCCACTCACTTGTATCTCCAGTTACTAGTTTTTGTCATTTCTGTCCCACTTCCTTGGCTGGATCTTGTGCCAAGCTGTGACTTCCACCATGACATTGTCTTCCTCATGCTACCTTGGTTGGAACATCATTCTCATCCTGGAGGATGAAGATAGAAATTTAAGATGAAACTATTGTCAATAAAACTATAACAGGTTAATGAAGGTAATCAGTACTGTCAAAGGGGAGACCCTAAATTTTCATGGTTATGTCATTACAAATGATAAAATGTCTGTGGCTGCTCCTGTTAGAGAAAGAATGCTCTTGAGTGGGCCCTGGCAGCAATGCAATATGGGATTCCTTTGGGTTCTATACAATAACCATATTCACTTTATAAAATCCAAGAAGCTGGTGATCCCTAAAATTATTTAATCCAAGAAGCTGGTGATCCCCGAAGTCCTGCTCCTGTAGGACTGTAGGACTCTATTCTAAATGGGCCACAGTGTTTTGGGCCTGCTTTCATTACAGCATTTGGACCTGCTTTCTAGAGCTCCTCCCCTTTTTTCTGATAAAGTATTTCCCTACCTGTCCTTAAGCCTCAGCTCAGGCTCACCACCTGCAGGCCTTCAAAAGTTAGTGCTAAGGTGTGGCTGTATACATCATGCTGTTTGCTCAGGACAGCCTAAAAAATGTTGAATTTCAAGAAGAAAAAAAGTGCCTTGGTTGATTGAACTGGCCAACCAAGGTTTCTATAAATAATTTATCCAGTGTTTTCATTGAAACAAAAAGACATATTAAATGCAGGGCAATTTTTATTCTTACTCTCATGTAACCCAAAATTATTGCATGTACAACTTGCCACCCTATGCCCTGGGACTTTATTTATAGAGCACTTAGAGTGTCAGCAGAAGTAGCGTGCATGTGTTAATCAACACCCTGTACACTAGATTGTATGTTTCTTAAAGGTGGGCATTCTGTTCTCTATATCTTTGAACGACCAATATCCAGGATGAGGCCTGGCCCAGAGTAGGTACACCTGGCTGTTTCCTCAATTGAAATAAATTGTAAAATGAGTGCATTCTCTTAAGTTTTCTCCAGGTTCCAAATAGTTCGTTCAGAAACCACTGAAGGCTCCAAGGATGTGTGTCCTTCCTGAGGCAGAAATGTGCTTTACATGAAGGAGAAAGGTCCTGAGTTCTGAAGGTTTGTTGAAGGTGAAGACTTACCCTTTCTTTTATAAGAAAGTCTTCACCTTCAACATGAGGGCATATCCTCATTAGGAACATTCCTTTGGTCTGTGTTCCTTTGTTAAAGTGATACATTGACTTTTTGGGATAATAAAATGTTTCAATCTAGAGTACTACAACTACTCAAAAAGCCTGTGATTCCATAAATAGTAGTCAGAAAAAGGGCCAGTAGAAATATGCAGGTGAAGTACTATTACAGAAAATGTGCAGCTAGAATCTGGAAGTGCCTCATGGACAAGATGCATTCTGAGCTGCTATTTGAGAGATGAGTTGCAGTTTACTCCCCTGCGCTGCAGCAGGCAGGAATGATTTACTTTTAAAAAATAGATCTTCAGAAACTTAAAACAATTCCTCCCTCTCCACAGCCACAGGTGACCGGTGAGAGAGCTTCATTCATTCCCCTTCAGAAATGTCACACGGTTGTTCTTCTAGAGTGATATTTAATTCTATGTGAAAGTGGCGTTTCACAAAGAAGGGGTTCTCAACACTATGTGAGGCACCCTTTAGGACCTTCTCAACACTATTGGTTCATCTTGTGATAACCCAGCTGGTAAGCACTAAATCAATCCTATTAAAAAATATGCATTATTCACTTAAGTGAGGAAAAGAACCTTGGAAACAATGGGGACTATTCATGTCATAGTGCTTGGAGTCCCTTCCCCCCAGCAGAAGTAGCAGGGAGATGAACTTGCAGTGTGTTACACCAATTTATTATGAGAGCAGGTAAATGAACAGTATGCTGTCGACTTCCCACAGCAATCACTTTTTTTAACACTTGTGTAAGTGCACGTTTTTAGCTATTTTAATAACTTCTCTTTCCATATACTGTTTGAATGGCAGGAATATATTCAACAAAGTAAATTCCGCACTGGAGGCACTTCCTGTAGTTATAGAAACAAATCACAAACCGCTATTATATGACTAGTTTTTCCTTACTAATTTTTGGGCAAGTATTTCTACAATGTACTAATGTAAATTAGAGATATCTTGCATTTTCCAATCCTTTTGTAACCTCGAATTTCTTAAGCTCCTCAAACATCAGAGAGCTCTGTCCCAGTTGAGAGACTGTCTTTCACAGAGGGGAAGATTTGCAAAGGAGTTAACTTTAGGAGACATTGAATATTAAATAAACTAGGCTCCGAATTCCTTGTGTTTCTTCTCTAGATCCTTCACTGCTGTTTGGAGCGTATTTCCATTTAAAAGGACAGAAATGGAGAAGAAACGGTGCCACTTCCAAGTGCTGTGGCCTGTTCTGCCCTCTAGTCAAGCAGAACGCCTCGTGAAAGCCCTGGGGCGGCGGGGAGGAGGTAGTATGTCCACTAAGTTTCCCCAGGTCTAAGGTGTAGCTGGTCCTTCCGCGCGCAAACGCAAACAGCGGCGTCAGAAATGATAACAGGCGTCCGCCGCCGCGGAGCTTCTGGAAACGGAGAAGGGCCTCGGCGGGGAAGGCCGGGGCCGGATGTCCCCGGCCTTGCGGAGCCTCTCGGCGCCGTCCATACTGATGAGCCCCTGGGCTGACACAGGAAGGCAGAGCGAAGGCGGAGCGGAGGAGGCAGAGGAGGCGCCGAGGAAGGCGGCCGAGCCGTGCACCCGGCTTTGACGTCGCCCAGCTGCGGCTAGCAGCTCGCGCTCTCAGCACGTAGCGCACAACGTGACCACACTCAGCCTTCTTCTCCGGCAGCCCGGCCGCCTGCTCGCGGCTTCTCCCGCCTCCTCCTCCTGTTCGCCTCCGCGGCGCGCACCCCCGCGCATACCCAGGGATTCCGGCCGGCGTCGGGCCCCTGGAGCTCCGCTGCCCCGCCCGGGCATCTGTGCCGCAGCTGGGGCCTGAGCAGTGGCCACGCAGCCGGGGTCCTCCTCTGGCGGCCGCTCCTGCGTTCACCTCTGGATGCCAGCACTCCGTTAGCCGAGGCGGGGAAGCCCTTCTGCGGCTCCCTCCTCTAAACTCCCGCAGGTCCCCACCGCCCCCACCCCTTCACCTGGCGGGGGAGGAGCGGAGGAGAAGAGGACGCGCGCGGTGCCGGTGGGCACGCGTAGACGTGTGTGCGGATCCGGTCTCTGCTTGGCATTGTCCCGCTCGTGCAAGTGACGGTGCCTGGACTCTGCTTTTGGCTCCCGGAATTGGTGCGGCCGGCCTGAGCCCTCTTTTCGCTGGTGGGGCGCTAAAGGCTGTTTTGGAGAACCGTGGCGACGGCGGCGGCGGCGGCGGCTGCGGCTGGTGCCCGAGAGAGCTCCAGACGCACACTCCGCTCCCAGGCTGTCCCTCTCCCCCCTTCCCTCTTCCCTTCCCTTTCTTCCACCCCGGCCCCTTAGCCCCACTCCTCCTCTGCCTCCTCCTCTGCCTGCTCTCCCCGTTTGGCGATGCGAGCCTGTACCGTGTAGCAGGATTGGCGTTGCAATGGCAACTGATGGAATGGGGGAAGGCAAGACAGCAGGGCTGGGGGCTCCGGACTGCGGGCGGGCGGGCCGCTGCCGCCGCTTGACGCTTCGTCGGGGACCTTCGCGAGTTACTTTGTAAAGAAGGAACCAGTCGAAGAAGCCCTTGCTCCGTGCCCCGAGTCCGAGGCCACTTCCTGCTCCTTGGCTGCCTGCGCCAGGCTCGCGCCGCTCGGCACCCGGACCCCTGCCCGCCGCCAGTTCAACGCGCCGCCGCCGCCGCTGCGGAGACTCGAGCCCGCCACCCTGAAGAACACATCCCCTCACGGCTCCGGTGCCATCACGCCCCCTGCTCCTCCCCGGCGCCTGCGATTTTCCCAGGCGCCCGGTGTGAGTGCGGCGTGCGTGCGAGTGTGTGTCAGGGTATTGTGTTGTGGGAGTGTGTGTGTGTGTGTGCGCGCGTGTTTGAATGAGTGTAGGGTGTGCGGGGCTCCTGCGCTCCGCTCGCGGCCGCTGCGGGGGAAGGACGGACGGACGGCGCTTCCCTTGGCGAGCGGTTCCCGGGCATCTCGGCTTGGCCCGGGCGCGAGTAGAGCGCGCCCGGCTGGCCGCCGGCCTCCGGAAGGTCCCGCTGCGTCCCTCCTGGGCTGGATATGTTCATGTTCACGTGAAGATGGATTTAGTGTACGGTCTCGTGTGGCTGCTGACAGTCCTCCTGGAGGGGATCTCTGGCCAAGGAGTATACGGTAAGTGGAATCGCGACGCTTTTGTGACCTTGTGATTCTTAGGCAAGATAGGCTGGTGAGCGCAAATGCACGACTCCCCGTTCCCGGGCCCCTCCCGGCGTGGCATTTGATTTACACTTCATCGCGTTATTGCGAGCGATAAGCAGGCAGCGAGCGCGCTGCAGATTGGGCTGTGAGCCGCTCCCCCAGCGCCTCTGCTCGGGCTCGGAGTTGGGTCGAGCCGGCAGCAGCGCACGCGTGCAAAAGAGCGGCTTTTTACTTGATTTATCTCCTCTGGGGACTCGAGCTCTAGCAGTCTTTGCTTTAATAATGATTTGGCTCCTTGCATGCTGCGGTGTCGGTGCCGCGGTTTCCCCCAAAGGGAAGCTTCGAATGTGACCCCAGGCTGCTCCCCATTCCTGTCCGCCTTCCTTCCTTCACCTTTTCCTTGTCCTTTTTTTTTTTTTTTTTGGTAAAACCTACATGACTTGATTTCCCGGCTCAGGAAGTGGGGTGACAGCTGAGTTGCGTTCTGCACCAGTCGTTGCCATGAACACTGAGTTGGGAGGGGAAAATAGCAGGCAAGATTCTCGGTGCCAGACACAATTAAGGGACATGTTTATGTGAATGGATGAGCGAATGCATGAATGAGCGGACGGCCAATTCCGCGCTCGGCTCTGGGGCAGGACACTAGTTTGCTTCAACAGGAACACAGTCTCAGGAATCTAGAAACCCCAAGTCTGGGTGCGTTAGGACCGAGAGGAGGGCGAGCTTGTTAATTCGGAGATTTTTAAGTCCTCAAGAGCAAATCCTGGTTCTTTTGACTGTCAGCAGTTGGCACTCTTGGCTTTTGGGACTGAAAGATACACTCTAACGCACGTCCAGCCTTTGGCTGAAATGTGCGTCTTCTCCTGGGACAAGCAGGCGGTGCCATAAAGGAAACATAACTTTTATGATCTCGAGGTATGGTGAGTAGGTTAGGAAAACAGCCCTTGAGGGGACAAGCAGGCTGAGACTAGTCCACCGCTTCTCTAAGGGCCAATTTTCAGAGAATGTGCTGGAAATCCAGCCCACTGCTTTTGGTCTCAGGGGTTTGGACTCCAGCGCTGCAGGTGCTCCGTCAGTGGCTGCCCCCAGGCAAGGAATACGATTTCTTGTGTGTAAATGTTAGAGATCGCTCTGTGGACCTTGGAAATGACTGTGGACTGGGTGCGGGTGCAAGGGAACCTTGAGAACTCACAGTTCTCTGAGAACGTGGAGTGCCTAATGGGAGGGTATTTGGGAAAGGATGCGGGAGAGAGACCCAGACCCACCCCTCCTCTCTCAGCTGTGTTCTGTATAGGCCTGAGCAGTGCAAGGAGGTGGCCGGAAGGGGGTCCCGAACCGCGAGCCCTGGCTTCTCCCTGCGCTTTATCTGCCACTCCCCTTTGCTGCGTTCCTAGTTCCTTCCTTGTCTTGGCCAAGAAATCTTCACATTCTTCTGTTTCTAAGCACCTTAATTTCCTCTCCTACTGCACTCCCTCTTTCCCAGTTAAAAGAGAGCTTGATTGATGGTGTTGGTGTTGGTGTTGGTGGTCGTGGTGGGTGTTTAGGAGAGAGCAGCTCAGATCCAGCCACATTTTACCTCTTGGCTGACAGCAGGAGGTGAGGCCTTGAGGAGAGCAGGGATTCATTTAGCGCTGTGTTGACTTCAGCTGGACTCTGGTGTGCCCAGAAGCTATGAGGGCTTGATTTCTAGGGATGGAGGAAGGGTGGAGATAGAGCCTTCTCGATGAGCTGTTTCTTAATATAGGAGAATCTGAATTCCTTTTATTCTATTTCCTGGTCTTTATTTCCTTTCCATTGGTTCAGATCATCCCAGATAAAAGGAGGTTTTTTTTTTTAAAAAAAAAATTGTGTGTACATGTGTGTAGGATATAATGGGAAGTAAGAAATATTGGATGGGCAGAATGTGGTAGAACTGTCTGGATTAAGGAGGCATGGTTCCATTTTTCTGTTACTTTTTGTCATTCAGATTATTTGTCCTGGCAAATGGCATGTTGGGTAGGGAAAAGGATAAGATCTAGGGGTGAAGAAGTAGGAAACAATTACATTAAAATAACCCTGCACCCATGTTGCTTAGTAGTAGAGAAGGAGGCAGTTCCATTGAACTGGTCATTGTGTTGAAGGTGGTCTTGTTTGTTTTGTTTTAAAATCGATGTGGATATATTAGTAACTTAGCTGGGAATAGAATCAGCTTTGGGTGAAAACTGATCGGCATCCCTGGTCATTATAAATGTTACAGTTATTAGGTGGGTCAAAAATATATTTATATATTACTTTTCAAATGAATCTTGCACATCGCAGAAGTTAGGTTTTCAAAGTGGGAACCTCTCACCTTCAGCAATACTGTCCACCTGGGAACTTGTTAGAAATGCAAATTCTTGGTCTCCTCCCAGACTTTGTAAATCAGAAACTCAGTGTGTGAGACCCAGCAATCTGTGTTCATTACCTCAGGTGATGATTCTGATGTACGCTACAGTCTGAGAACCACAGATAGAGACTTCAAATTTCATTGCTTTGACTTGTTTATCACAACCATTCTTAATCTAAAGAGCTTTATTTTTCTTTGTGGAAGCATTTATGGGGAAAATAACAGTTTATCTTATTTAGATATAAAATATTGATCAATTGTAAGGACATGGACATAAACGGTAAGGTTATCATGTATGTTTTAAACATTTTACATGAAGAACCTTGAAATGATTAATTTAAGAAGGACAATTATAAACAGACACTTCAAAGACTTAGGAGCTTCTCTAGCATAAAAATCTATATCCCTGTATCCTGTTATTTGCCTGTATTTATCAAATGTAAAAGCATTTATATTACACACAAAGTATTAATTCTTAATATTGTCTTCTAGTTGCTAGGTTAAAGGCGAAATAAAAAGTATTTTATGAGTAACTCAGGCAAAAATCACCTCATTGTAGCCTAAAATTAATTATATGACTTAGAAATTAACAAATGAGTTTGCTCATTTGGGTGCTACTTATGGACAGTACATTAACTATTTCAGGACACCAAGTCATAGATTGCTTTGCCTCCCATTAAAAACTATACAAACGTAGTCTTTACTGCTTGGCTGGAAAACTATGAGCATGGAATTGGGCTTTGATTTTTTTTCTTAATAATTGAGAGTATTTATTTTCATGCATGGATTATATTGTCTTGAGTTACTATAATCTTATTGTGCTCATTCAACTTGGCACCCACGTGTAGTATTTAAATGTAAACATCTGTACTATAGGCCAAAAAAAATACTTTGTCATTTATCTTGAAATATTGCTTAGTAAACAAACTGTACAGTAAGTGAGATTTGTGTCAGTGTGGCATTTGGGTAAGAGAGGTTATGCTTTAATTTATGTCTGCCTCCACCAGTAATTGTGATGACATTAAAAACATTTAAAAATGGCATTTTCCTTACTTAGTTCATATCAGGAATGGCATTACAGTAACACAAATTATTTTAAAACACTTTTGAAAGAAAGTTACTTATAATGGACTAGTATCAAAAATCATGTGGACTTTTAAGATAACTGTGTTGTTTTAATGGATAATACCCATTTAGGGAAATCTCTGTGCAGTTTTAAAGATCCATTTTCTTAAGTTATAGATTCCCCCTTCTTAAATTTAAAAAAGTTATTTGTAGTTAAATTTTTTTCTCAGAATAATCTTGGAGTTTAATAAGTTTGTTTCAGTTTTCTTTTTATTTAAACATTACTGAAAACACCAATACATCATTAAATGAAGAATGAACTGGTATGCATTTTTTGACATGAATTTTATTGCATTTCCATTGCATTAGATTTAGGGTAACCAATTAAACCTAGCATCAAGGGTCATCACATAAACCCCAGCGCTGCAGGTGCTCCATCAGTGGCTTCCCTACTGAAATATCTAGAGCTGAGTGATCGAGAGCATTTTCCTAATTTTTAGTTTTCTTTGTAAGACATTCTATGGTAGTAAGTTGTTTGGGCTTTTTAATTGCATTTTCTAGAGATTCTGTTGATAATGACATAATATTGAGAATCGTATCTCCTGTAAATTTCTCAGCTGTCCTGTTAAGGAAAAACTGCTCCATTGCCACACATTAAAGTTTTGCTTCTGGCCCATCAGATCCTTAATTTCCAAGGAGGCTAATAAAATATTCTAATTGCATTAGCACAGGCAAAAGTCCCCACTACAAATGAAAAATAAAATTAGAACTCCATGTTTGTACAGTTTTTAATGGGAGGCAAAGCAACCTATGACTTGGTGTCCTGAAATTGTTAATGTACTGTCCATAAATAGTGTCCAAATTAGCAAACTACGTTCACTCAATTCAAGTAGTGTCAGTTCATCTCATAGAATTAAAGAATGACACCCCAAGAAGTAGCTAGACAGAAAAGACTTTGTAGCATTGAGAACCAGGGAATAAGATGGACAGGAAGGATCTGGAAGATATTTCAGACAGTCTGTGTTGAATCTGGGTGGACAGATTGGCCCAAAAGGACAAGGATGCTCTGGAAGGTCAGTTGACCCATTACATCCAGTCCAGGATATTGCCGTCCTCAGAGTAAAATTATCCCAAGGTGCATTGAATTACGGTATTTGTCCAGTTTGAGTTTGAAGAGACCCTATAATCAGATAATGCTTTTCACTGAACTCATATTTTGGGTATCAGCCTGTGGGAAGAGAGGGGAAAATGAGTTTAATAAATGTTGCTGAAAGAAAAATTAGTCTGAAGCTTTATCTCATACAATCAGCTATAACCTGCTGTCTTCCCACTCCACCCCACTGTCACTGCATGCGCACACGTGCACGAAACCTCATGCCATCCCTGCCCTGGACAAGTGGGTGGGCTGTCCCTTCTTTCTTGGGATTATTTTTGTCCAGTTAAGTTTGTCCTTGTTCATAATATTACTGAGAATTTGCATACAAATGGGCAGATTATTTTGTACAAGGTTACTTGCCCATGTCCTATATGTCCCTGGGGAAGC